ATATAGAAATACACTTAAAACACACTGTATTCCACCAGCACGTCAGAGTACATCATCAGTGATAACAGAAATGAGACAGGAAGAATTACTGGAAAGTGTGCTGTGAAGTGAGGAATCATTTAGGGTAACAACGGCATAGAAAATTAATGGCATAAAGAAAGGGATGGGTGGAAAAGAAATAGAGAAGCTAGGATAAATGAATATGGAAGGATAGAAAAAGGAGGAAAGGTCTAGAAAAGAAACAAATTCAGAAACAGAAATTAAAAAATTTACCAATGATGACCAAGTTCAAAAACACAAATAAGTTACTAAAAATAAAAATCTGAATACCAAAATTAATCCTTAATCCCCTTAATAAGATAAAGTTAGAGTACTATCAAATACACAGATGGGGCAAAAAGGGAAAATGTTAAAACTAAAAAAAAAAAAATTTTTTAAAGAAATTAAGGAAAAGAAAAATATTTGGCCCAAATGGGAAAAAATTAATAAATAAAATTGGATGGATGTATGCAGAAGAATAACAAACCAGAAAACTGAGAAATACAGCGACGTTAAAATCTTGCTCAACATGAAAGTGAGGGTGGAGAGAAGAATTATAAAAAGTAAAAGGAGGAAAATGGGGTGTCAGATTAGCTTCTTTCTGGGTCCTCAAAAATTGAAACTGCTCGTTGTATCCAAAGAGTGGGCCAAGGGTCCATTGCATTGATGAATGCATGTTTTTTCAATGGTTTATGCTGTTGCTGAGTCTGGACTGAGTCTGGACAAGTGTTTGGTGTCCACCAGAGCTGTCATTACAGTGGTAGCGTTCTTTCTCCATATAACAGGGGCCTTTGCTGGCAGTGCTCAGCTTTACATTGTACGGTCCCCCATATTATCTTCTCCTGAGGCTCCCCAGATTGGAGGGTCTGGCTAATATTTTAACTAGCATGTCTCCCAAGTGCATTAAGAGTATGAGAAGCAAGCAGCACAGAAGTCTTCATACTTTCAAGACATGCTGGGTATTAATTGCCCTGATGGAGAAATACAGTTGTGGGTGTCTTGTTGTTTTGGTTTGAATGAAAATGCCACCCATAGACTCATGAGGAGTGGCACTATTAAGAGGTGTGGCCTTGTCAGAGTAGGTGTGGTCATGTTGGAGGAAGTGTGTCAGTGGGGGTAGGCTTTGAGGTCTCAGATGCTCAAGCCAGGCTCAGTATCTCACTCTCTTCTTGCTGTCTGCCAATCTGAATGTAGAACCCTCAGCTCCTTCTCCAGCACCAGGTCTGCCTGTGCCTTGTCATGCTTCCTGCTGTGATGCCAATGGACTCAACCTTTGAACTACATTCCAGCTCCAATTAAATGTTTTCCTTATTAAGAGTTGCTGTGGTCATGGTGTCTCTTCACAGTAATAGAAACCCTAAGACACTTGTACAATCCTAGAACTTCAGAGTTCCCAGACTCTGTAGCAGTGAACAAAGGAGACTCCCAAATTAGATCTACATACTGGCCTTGGGCTCAAAGCCACCAAACTCTTGGAGTTAGTTTTGGTTGATGAGGTCAGTGTCTGACCATCCAAGGTGGGCTGTCTCTTCCTGTGCACTTCCAGCCTGAGCTAGGCCTTTTGCTGTCTGTATCCTTTGTCTTTCCAGTGCCTGGTCCTCCTGCTTTGCACACCTGCCTACATGTGCCTTTCCTCACTCAGGGGCTGGGTCAGACCTAACTGAGTCTCTGACCTGTGGGTGCTCCTTAATTAGGACGCTAGGGTAGCTCAGCTTTGACCACCAGATTCTCAAGATATTGCCTGCCTGCAGTCCCCTAAGTAATACAGTTTGACATCCTAGGCTTTCTCTCCACTGCTGTCTGCCCTTCTCACTAAAACCTGCAACTGCACTTGAAGCTTATGAGGGCTGTGATTTGTCCCCAGGAGAGGATCATTTACCTTTTTGGAAGGTGCTTCTATTTCCCCTTCCCACCCATGGAACTCTATGGCTGAGGTTGTACTCAAGTTACTTCTCCATGTTCTCTCTCTTTCTCCCTCTCCTCTCTCTCTCTCTCTCTCTCTCTCTCTCTCTCTCTCTCTCTCTCTCTCTCTCTTTTTGGCTTTTTCAGGATCCTTTCACTTCCTTCTTGGATTCCCAAGGCTCTTCCTCTGTTTCTTTTTCTAAGATAAAGTCTATTATTTTAAATTGTGACTCCTTCCTGCCTCAAACCGTCAGCCTGTTCTCAGCCTCCTTACCCAAAAGTCCAACTGAATTCAGCATTTGGGATATTATTCTACTGTCTTCTCGCTCCCATTATTGTCAATCTTTGGTTTCCGTGGAGGAAATGCATTTTTATTATTTGTTAGTTTTACTATTTGACTTTTGTCTTTAATTTTATGAAATCTCATCCCGGTGAAGTTATGAGTGCATTTCTTTTATATAATCCAAGATCCTTGTACCTGGTCCCATGACTCTCCAGAAATGGCTTCTTTTCATCTTTCTCTCCTTCTGTCTGGTACCAACAAAGCCCATTTGCATAATTTTCAGAGATTAAAGGAAAAAATGGCTTCAGGGCTTTGGACCTGTTCAGGGCTTTGGACCTCCCAGCCCCAAGCATGCCCAGAGCCCACACTTCTTTATTTTGTGTTGATTTGATTATGTTCTGAGCATGGATGTGTGCTATAAACTACAGAAGGCATGGCGGTCTCTCTATACAGTCCTGGCTGTCCTGGAACTCACCATGTAGACCAGGCTGAGCTCAAACTCACAGAGATCTACCTGCCTCTGCCTCATGAGTACTGGAATTAAAGGCATGTGCCACCACTCCTGATGATATAGCAATTTTAATGTTCTTTTCTTTCAGATCTTGATTCTATAGGTTGGAGTAAAGCCCAAGTTTCTGTATTTCTGACAAGGTGCCAGATGATGCCAAAACATCATTCACAGTCTATGCTTTAGAATCAAGTGTGTGCGCAATTAGGAATATGGAAAGGTTTATTTTGAATACCTATCATTTGAACACAAGTATCTTCCTTTTGAACACTGAACTACTGTCTTAGTTGGGGTTGTCCTTATAGCAGGGAACTTGATTAGGAGATGACTCAAGAATGACACCATGAATACTAGTCACTTTTATAGGTAACTATGGCTGGGAGCAGCTAGGGGCCCTCTGAGAAGCCTGAACATTGTCCCACCAGAGGACAGGAAGTCTGGGACTTTATCCACTAGTCTCTTAATTCGTTGGTAGCATGTGTCCCTGAGATGGAAGCCAATAAGGTATGAAGGTGACATGTTCTGGGATCTATTGGAGGCAGACTGTGAACTCAGATATGGGATAAAGCATCAAAATCTTTGCCTTGGTTTCCTTTCGGATTTATCTAATGATAGGCACTCTTGTCTCAGACCATCTGACAACTAGGCTTTGAAGAGCCCTAACAGGCCCAAACAAGACAAACATGGCATAGTCAGGCCCTGCCTCCCCACCCCTCCCCACTTCCCTCTCTCTTGCTAAACCAGTAGATTCTTAGGCATTTCCACATTCCTAAAGCTGGCTATCAAGGTCCATTCCCTTATTTAGCCACTTCCTTATGCCTGATTCCTTCCTGAGGCTAACCACCAAGGTCCAGCTATCAAAATTTCCCATTTGACAACACCGAGTAACATGTTCACTAAGAACCTACCAACTCACCCTGGCTCATCCTAACACCAACCTCCCCTTCCTCCCTTTACCCATCACTCCTGCAGAGCCGTTTGCTGCTGATTCTGTCCAATTCAGCCACCTTGTCTCTTCATCTTGCTTAATAAAGAATCTCTTTGTGTTGGAAATCGGCGTTTGGGTGTGTTCTGTGCCTAAATGGGGTTCAGAAGGGAGCACCCCGGGGTGTGCAGTTTCCTTCAGGCTTCCTTATCCTATAACAAGATAATGACTTAAGTCCGCTGAGGTATGAGCAGGCAGTCCAGGAATTGGCACTGCTTTGGGTCAAGTTTGTTGGTGGAGAAGCAGCAGGCTCGTGGGCTGGGAGAAAGAGGAGCATCCCCTCCAGTCAGCCTAAGGTGACCAGTACCAGGTTAAAAGCTTCATAGGACTCAGGACAGGGTCTTCTCCACATTGACCCTAGCACTGGCTACAGGCTCCTTCCGAATGAGCAATATTCTAGTACCTCATCTTACATCACCTAGCCCAGGCACCCACCCTGGGGAAATCCCATAATGTTTCTTTCCTCAGTCAGTCAGAGTCTGTAACTGTATTTCCTGCTTGCTGCTCTCACAGGCTTAGCATGCCCTCCCATTCCACGGCACTCTGATAAGTCACAGCCATGCTACCGTTGACGTTCATTCCAACAAAGACTTAGCGAGTCCTCTAGCACAAGGAACTAGTAATTATCTAGGGTGCCAGGCAGTCCCAGATCCTCTGAGGCAGCACTTCCTTCCTTCATGTTCTGGATAAAAAGGCAAGGGCCCCAGTAGAGTCTGTCAGAGAAGCTGAGCACAGCAGGAGCTCTAGTTCCGCAGTTACCGGGCACAGGTACAGCAGCAGGCAGCCGTTGTTCTGTAGTGTGCAGACACAGTTTCTCTGTAACCAGGTTGGAGACGCAGCCTGTGGTTTTCAGTCCCTGGTCTCTGATCTCTTGCTGTTTGGCTCTGGCTTGGTACTCTCTGTCCTCCTGGACCTCAGGACTGCCTGCATGGGAGTTATAGGGGAGCTGTTTCTTTGGGGCAATAAGCTGAGTCTAAGGATGTAGAGGGATCTTGGTGAGACTTGGGTTAGAGAGTCTGACTGGCTATTAGGCTGATCACCAGCTCCTCTGATCCAGGGTCAAACTGGGACTTAGTTCTAACTCTGTTCCTCCCTTAGGGTCAATCTGCACATACGTATCACTGGAGCTAGGTTGGCAGTTCTGAAACAACATCACCTTAATGTTGGTCATAAATCAAGGAAAACGTAAAGTGGGAAAGATTGGAAAATGGGGGCGGGGCGGGGGGAGAGGGGCTGTTCTGTGCCTTTGTCCTTACATCTCTGCATTTTCCCTTTCTTTACAGAACTAAGCAGAGAGATACCTTGGCTAAGACATATTCAGGACCTTAGTAGTCGTGTGTGGGTTCTTCATAATGATATCCTCACTGCAGTCCCTAGGAAAGAACAAACGGTTCCGGGTGAGTAGCCCAGGCCCTTTGTGGCAGCCCCTCTGGCTAATGTTGTGGGTCTGTCCTCAGCCTTTCATTTTCCTGCACATGTGTTGGCTATCCTTACCTGGAGGAGCACTGCAGGGCAGTGTAGTATAGAGGGCAGTCACAGGCTTGGACAGCTATAGGATGAGTCAAGAGAGAGAGAGGTAATCCCAGGAGTGGAAGGTTGAGGAAATGGTGGAAGTCTTGTTTTCTGTGACATTTCAAAGAACCAAATAGCAGAGAAAGATCTATGAGATTAATCTTTGAGTCTATGAGATGCTGATTTTCTCTAATGGAAAGAGTTACCCAAATGGGATGCCTGTGTGAGCCAGGTGGTGAATGGCAGGGGACATGAAGGTTGGCAAGGCCCTGTTTCTTTGTCTCTAGTTTAGAGCGGTGCTTTGGAAGCATAGACTGAACCCCGATTTCTGTTCTTGCATTCCCAGTCACAGTCACCTTACTCCCATGCCAATATCTGGAGACTCTTGAGAAAGGCAGGGGGGATCCCATGTATCTGGGACTGAGCAAGCCTGAACGCTGCCTGTTCTGCACAAAGGAAGGGGAGCAGCCCGTGCTGCGGCTCAAGGTGAGTTTAGAAAAGAAGGATCTGCTCTTGTTTGGCCAGGGGTGAGGAGCCCATCTGTCCCATAAAGCTCCCACTTGACAGAAACCCTGATTCCCAAATCTTTTAAAAGGCAATTCACAGGCTATCCTCACACCAATTCATTGTTCTCCTGAGGGTACATGCATCACCAAAGAACAAGAAAAAGTTATAGGGTATTTGAAAGTAGCTTTCCAAAGTAAGTTTTTGTTTTATTTTACAAAAGTAAGTTTTGTCAAGGAAGAAGGTTTTTAGAGTTACTCGTGTGTGTGTGTGTGTGTGTGTGTGTGTGTGTGTTCATATGATCATGTGTCTATGTGCATGCGTGTGCACATGTGGGTATAGGTCAGAGGTTGACACTGGGTGTCTTCCTTCATCTCTCCCCATATTATTATTATTATTATTATTATTATTATTATTATTATTATTGGTTTTTTGAGACAAGGTTTCTCTGTGTAACAGTCCTGGCTGTCCAGGAACTCACTTTTCAGACCAGGCCCCAAACACAGAGATCCACCTGCCTCTGCCTTCCAAGTGCTGGGATTAAAGGTGTGCGCTGCTGCCGCCGCCGCCGCTGCCACCGCTGCCACCCTCCCTACATTATTTTTAAGACAGAATCTCTCACTAAGTCTGGAGCTCACCAACTAGGCTAGGCTGGCTGCGGGGGGGGGGGGGGGGTGCAGGGATAACTGAAACAGCTGGACATGGTGGCACCTGCCTCTCATCTTAGCACTGGAGGTACACAGAGAGACTTCATCTTAAAACACTAGAAATATCAAACTCCAGACAAGCAAATTTGAAACTCGTGTCCTAATGTAGCTACCCTACTCTTAACATGTATTTGGGGTGTGTGATTCTTAATACTCTAGAAAGAACCCCAAGTCTCCAGGCCTGCTTTAATAGGTGGGGACTGGGTTACAGACAAGTACACAGCTGAGGTGGTGATGTTTCTTCCTGAGATCTCCTTCTCACCCACCAGGATGGGGACATAATGGAACTGTACCACCAAAGGGAACCTGTAAAAGCTTCCCTCTTCTACCAAAACAAGAGTGGCACCACCTCAACATTCGAGTCCGCAGCCTTCCCTGGTTGGTTCATCGCTGTCTGCTCCAAAGGAAGCTGTCCGCTCTTTCTGACCCAAGATCTGGGGAAAACCCACATCACTGACTTTGAGATGATTGTGGTGCACTAAGGTCAGTCTTGAAATGGGTGTTTTCTGCCAAGAGAACCTTGCCTTTGCCTCCACCATCCTAGCCCTCAAGGCTCTTCCTTCTTACATGAGCATTGTTGTCCTGGCCCATCCTTTACTGGGAAGCAGGTTTGCTCATGCTATGCTGGTTAGTTTTTGTCAGCCTACAACAAGCCAGGCTCATCTGGGAAGAAAAAAAAAAAATCCATTGAGAAAAATGCCTCCATTATATTGGTTTGTAGGCAAGTCTGCAGGGCATTTCTTGATTAGTGATTGATGTGGGAGGGTCTCAGACCACTGTGGTTGGTGCCACACCTAGGTGGGGGTGGGGGTCCTAGGGTGTATAAGAAAGCAAGCTGAGCAAGCCGTGTAGAGAAAGCAGCATTCCTCTGTGGTCTCTGCTTCAGTTCCAGTCTCTGGGTTCCTGTCCTAAGTTCTTGCTCTGACTTTTCTGGTACCCGGAAGTGTAAAATGAAGTAAACCTTTTCTTTGCCAAGTTGTTTTTGATAAATGTTTTATCACAACAATAAAGAAGGAAACTAACACATACATCCAAGTGCAGGTTAAAGGGTAATAAAGTCTGAGCCTAGAATAGGAAGAAAGAATCTGTTGTTGGGTCTTTCACTCAAAGATGATTGATGTCTTCCAATATATTCATGCAAAGATCTAAATGCTGGTGTAGGCTGTTGGGGAAATAGTGGTAAAATATCGGGTATCTTTGGCACAGTTGTATAGTTAAATCATGACACCATCACAAAACTAACAAAGAGCTCTAGCTATATACTATGTATAATATATATTATATAGCTGTTAATACATAAATTAAGAAATGTAAATGTAACCATCTGTGTCCACACTTAGGGGTTTTCAGACACATTGCTCTGTGGCACTCAAGATCTCTCAGATCCTGACAAGAAGAAGCAACCATATACACCCCAACAAAGCAGAAGACTGAAAGGAAAGCTGAACCCTCCTGTGGCTGGCTTCCCTCTCTGTGTCGGCTGGATCAGATGCAGAACATCTTACCACATTTTCATCCAAAGCTTTACTGCTAGTTTTTATAAGGAGTAAACTTTGTGGAATAAAATCGTTTATCTCACTTGCTTTATTGACTACAGTGATTTTAGTGGAATAAAATAGCTGTATTATTTTTGCATTTATAAGGAGCTACAGCTTGAAAAGCAGATTCACATGAAGTTCCTCTTGGTCTCTCTGTGTGTCTCTCTCTGACTCTGTTTCTGTCTCTGTCTCTCTTTCTCGTGTGTGTGTGTGTGTGTGTGTGTGTGTGTGTGTGTGTGTGTGTGCATGTATGTGCATGTGAAAGCCAGAAGCTGATGATGCCGGGTGTCTTCCCTAATCACCCCCCACCTTTTATATTGAAGCAGGGTCTTTCATTGGGCTCAGAGCTTACCAATTCAGCTAGGGAGCAGCTAGCCAGCTTGTTCATGAGAACTTCCTGTCTCTACTTTCAGAGGACTGGGATTACAAATGGGACACTGTGCTAGTTAAGCTTTTTTTTTGTCAACTTGACACAGCAAGGGTCATCTGAGAAGAGGGAACTTCAGTTGAGAAAATACCCCCAAGAGATTGGTAGGTCTATAAAGCATTTTCTTGGTTAATGACCATGTAGGAGGGTCCAATCCACTCTGGGAAGTGTCACCTCTGTGCTGGTGATCCTGTGTTGTATAAGAAAGCAGGCTAAGAAAGTCATGAGGAGCAAGCCAATAAGGAGCATTCTTCCTTGGTGTCTGCTTCAGTTTCTGCCTCCAGGTTCCTGACCTGTTTGAGTTCTTGCCTTGGCTTCTGTGGTGGTTTGAATAAGAATGCCCCATAGACCCATATATTTGCATGCTTAGTCCCTAGCTGGTGAACTGTTTGGAAGGATCAGGAGGTGTGGCCTTGTTGGAGGAGGTGTGTTGCTAGGGGTGGGCTTTGAGATTTCAAATACCCACACCAGGCCCAGTGTCGGCTCATTCTACCTGCTGCCTGAGAATCTGAGAGAATATGAAGCTCTCAGCTATGGCTCTAGAGTCATTTCTGTCTGTTTCCCACCGTGATAATAATGGATGAAACCTCTGAAACTGTAAGCCAACACCCAATTAAACAATTTTCTTTATAAGTGTCACTTTGGTCATGATGTCTTTTCACAGTAATGGAACAGTAACCAAAACAGTTTCCCTTGGTGATAGGCCATGACCAGAATGTGTAAGCCACATAAATCGTTTCCTCTCCAAATTACTTTTGGTCATAATCTTTATAAAAGCAGTAGAAAGCTGACTACCACAGCCACCATGCCTGCCCAGCACTTACATGGGTACTGGGGATTTGAACTCTAATTCTCACACTTGAGCAGCAACTACTTTACCCTCCATTCCATCTCCTCCGTCCCAAGTCTCTTAGTTTTTAGAACTAGCGAGATTTCTAAGGAAGGTGGTCTCTTCCAGAAGCAGGTTCCTCAAGGCCCAAATATGGATGGCTAGGACAAACAGGGCTCCATTAATAAAAATTGTATTCGATATGTCAGTGCACAATGCAGACACACAGTTGAATGAAAATCTCCTGCCCCACCCTGGACTGTGTTTCTGTGAATATCTTCTGAGTTTTTCCTTTGAACTCATCAACCATTAACTGACTTGGTTTTCATGTGTGGTGAGCATATTCGTTTTTGAAGGTTTATCCTTTCCTATATTCTTTTAAAGTTTCTTTAAAAATATTTTTAGTAATTCCTTGAGAATTTCCTACAATATGTTTTGATCACATTCACTCCATCCCCAAACTCCTCCCAGATGCACCCCTCTTTCCCTACCCACCCAACTTTGTGTCCTCATTTTTGTTTGTTTATTTTTAAACCCATTGAGTTTTTGCTGCATAGCAGGAGGCAGATGCCTTTCTTTTTATTATGTACACACACACACACACACACACACACACACACACACACACACACACACGAAGTTTCGTTCTTTGCAGTGTGGTGGTTGATAAAATAATCTCTTCAGTCCTGCTGGAAAAGACAGTAAGTCAGAGCCCCCTTTACCTTCAGTGAAAAGGGCCATATCAGGTTCTCTCATCCAGTGCTACCAAACTTCAAGAGAGAAACTGTTAGAGCCATATATTTTTTACCTAAAATTTGTGCCAAATCCTTCTGAGAACATATCCAGGTAGACTTCAGAAGAACTAGGTGTTACTCATCTTCCGCCACAGTGACAACTGAGTACTACAAGAAACAGAACTCAGAACCCCCCTTGCACATTTCTGCTAGACAGCTCTTCTATATGTTTTTAAACCATTTTCTAGTTAGGTCTCTTAAAAGTTATCTGACATCTTTTCCTTGGTTCATTTTCTAAACAATAGAAATAACAATGATCTTGGTTTTATAAAACTACAACTGAGAATGGTATTACTGTGTGACTTAACGAGAGAACCAGACCACAAGAGCCGGGCTGAGGCCAAAAGGCAAAGCTTTACTCGGGGTATGACTGTCAGGCTGTCCCCAAGAAAAGGGAATGCAGAACCACCAAAGAGGAGTTTTGGATTTATAGGGTGTTTTTAGTTGGGTGGGAGAAAGGCAGGAGAGTATTAAGGGCAAAGGAGACTGCAATAAGCAAAATCTTATGGAAGCTGGGGGGATCTGGAGGCTGTGGTCAAGCTGCTCTGCTGAGACAAGGGGTCATCAGACCTCTGAGAAGTGTACATTGTTCCATTTCCATTGCCCTGAAAGGGCTGGATCCCACACGGGTCACCCGTCTTGTGTCTTAGGTGACTCCCTCTTGGGCCAAATATCTGAGCCAGTCCAACAAGTATGATCTCTTCGTCAAGATTTTTCTGTGACTGCTTGCCTACCTTGACTGTCTACTGTAACAGGTCTTTCTTGTCTGACTTTCTTTCTTTTGGGACTGCCAGCCCCCAAATAATGACACAGAGACTTATTATGAATTATGAAAGCTTGGCCTTTAGCTTAGGCTTGTTCCCAACTAGCTCTGATAACATAAATTAACCTGTTTCTATTAATCTGTGTTCTACCATGTGGCTTTTTTACCTCTCCTCCATTCTGTATGTCTGACCCCCTCCGTGTCTTGTTGGCATCTCTCTTGCATGCCTAGATTCATCACAAATTCCTCTCTCTGCCCAGAAGTCCCACCTTACTTCTCCTGCCTAGCTATTGGTCATTCAGCTCTTTATTAAACCAATCACAGTGACACACCTTCACAGTGTAAACTAATATTCCACAACAGTCTACTGTATTTAAACCAAGACTTGACATTTAAAAATATTCACCTTTTTGTTACTGAAATGATTATCATTCAATATAGACTGTATAAAACATCCAGGTTTTAGGTGAACAGAGACTTATTGTAAGCCTTTCCCCAGAACCTTCCATTTTAAAGCCACCTCTATTTTAGAGCCAAACTCCTAGACCCACAAATAATAACACTTCCTATAAAAAGGGGGATTTAACTGGTCCAACCAATTTAATTTCTATGTTGCTATTGATATTTAAAATGTCAAAATACAACAAACTTATAGACATCACAATCTGTCAGAGTTACATCTATTTCATATCACTGATCCTGATGACTGTCTGTCTTATACATGTGGCTAGATGTCCCATAGTACAGGAACTCATCATACCTACCAAACATAAAATCTCTAATTAATGAACTCAAATTCCAGATGTTAAATGCCAAGTAATGAAAGGTTCCTGGAAACCCTGTAGTCTTTTGTCTACATAGGAGTAACTTCGACTCCAGTAACTCTTATTAGAGATAAATCAAAGATTTTGTGTTGACTCTTTTTATCCAAATTATACCAAAACCAATCAGTCTCCATTGAAAACAACATTTGTGGTGCTTTTTTTTTTTTTTCTTTTTTTTCTTTTTTTTTCAAGACAGGGTTTCTCTGTGTAGCTTTGCGCCTTTCCTGGAACTCACTTGGTAGACCAGGCTGGCCTCGAACTCACAGAGATCCACCTGCCTCTGCCTCCCGAGTGCTGGGATTAAAGG